CATGCGCTGATCTCTGCTGTGAACAATCTGGTCCTGCGAGTGGTGTGGAAAAGCAGGCGGAACCCTCATGGGAGTGCGTCTTGCTTGCGCCTCTTGGCCATTTGAAATGCTGACGAGACCTAGTATGCCACATTTCCTGAAATGCAGCGCTGGGCGACCGACGGAATTGTCATGCAGCAGTCTGCCATGGGAACGCCAGCATCGACCTTTGTCCACGAGGTTGGCCACTGGCTGGGCCTGCGCCACACGTTCGGCAACAAAGTTGATGACGGCGAAACGGACTGCCTTGTGGGCGACGGTCTTCGCCGGACGACTCACACGCGTGGAGACCGCAGCGTCATCTTTGAATGCCAGCAGCTCCCTTGCAATGAGGAGCGCGGCGTGATGCGCATCCCGAACTTCATGAGTGTAAGTTGCCAACCTGGATCACTTTCGTAAATCGCGAATGTCGCTGACAGGAGAGTAGTATTCGAGTTGCAAGGGCCAGCCGATCAATGCAGGCTTCCATGTTGACCAAAAGGCTGCCATGTTTGCGCGAACCATTAGGTATCGTCGGAATAACGCTCCAGACGACTGCAGATATATTGATCCCAGAGGTCTCGCCATGTACAGTGAGAGGTCTGTTCATAAGCGATCGTCTATGCAAGATCTCGTGGATGGTAAATGCCCTGACCTAGATGCAGAGGCAGATCGAATTCAGAATGAACCCGCCGCAGCGCCCAGCGGCGACGCAGCAGGCGGTGATACGCAAGGGGGATCAGGGAATGGAAACGACAATAACGGCAGCGGGGCTAGCGAGCTAGTCATACATTTGGGAACTTGGTGTTTGGTTGGCCTCACCGGTTTCATGGTTGCTTTGATGTAAGGAAAGGGGGTTAACGGGAGTTTCTCAGGTGAGGTAGGTAGGATAGTAGGGGATTACAGCATGAAGGACATGGTGTGACGCATGAATACAAGCTTCATGATAATTTGAATTTCAGCAACCCTCAGCATTCGCCTGGTCAATGATCACTTGACAATCAGCGGTAGGCTCTCTCGAGCTGGAGAGCCTTAACCCTTCCTGGCTAACCGTCTCCCGTGGACCATGAGCGCAATTGCACTGATGCCGCTTTTCAAACGTGGCGATATATGTTGTACACCCCGCACAAAACAATGATCCAAGGTAAGGACGAGTAGCAAATGAGACCAAGACGTGGATCAATACAAGCTGGGCGATCCACGAGATACAGAGTATTCGCATGAAAAAGCTACTCTAGCTGGATTTACCATCACGGAAAAGAGTGGTGGAAAGCGATATGCTTCAATCGTGGTTCCCCTGATCGCAAAGTATAGATTTTGGAGCAAACGCTCCGTACTGTCGTGCGACGCGTTGCTTCTATCAGCTGGCAGAAACAGGCGCATCGCCAAGGCGTTTCTCACCGCCAAGGATCAGACACAATGATGTCATGCTCGGTTTAGACCTCTATCTCGCTCATCGCTCAGGCACGGACATGAAGATCCTTGGGCTTATTTTGTTCCTACAGAGAATACAGGATCAGATCACGACATGCGAAATTGACGCGTCGCACAATCACCTCGTATCTCGTCACAGTTACACGTCATGCCAGATGGTTCTAGGATATATAGACGGCCCACAGCTCAATCCAGCTAGTCGTCATTATGTCGAGACACCCATACACCGAGGCATCATCTTCGTAAATCGTAGGAAACGACTGTTCGTCTTACACCAGACTACTACGAGCTCAGCGCCATGAGGGAGGAGCAATCACCTGCCGAAGGTCGGGCTCCCACTACTGGGCCATCCCTGCCGACCGTCAAGCTCGACACAACCCTCGCCGACCTCTACCGTCAGGCAGCTCCCCGAAAGAAAGCTCGCCGCATCGCTCAGGTGCTCTGCGGCGTGAACTCAGGTCTTCCCCTCTCAGCCAAGTTCCCGCGAAATACAAAGTATCTCTACCAGGACTCGCCCTTCAACACAACAACCGCCAAGGCCCCATCTTGCCCTGACGAAAAGGCCGCTCTTACCCGTGAGCTTGCCATGAAGTATCTGTCTCTGATCCCTCAACGCGACGCCTTCATCTCGGGCTCAGCGCCCGTCATACTTTTCCACATTGACCACGACGATCCGGCCCAGGTCGAACACGACCGCGCCGAGGCTGAAGCTACCATCTCCGTACTGGCTGCTGACCAGAAGCCCGAGCTCGTGTTCTGCGCCGGGCCAGCAGACATCCCCGTCCAAGAGAAGGGCATCGACGTCATTGCGTATAAGCTCATGGTCGATGGCCTGGAGAGGTATGACCTTCTCGTGCAGCCGGACGTGCACTGGTTCGTCAACTCGAAGGACGCCCTCGCAAAGTCTGGTCTGCCAACGCCAAAGTGCGAGATCATCGACCTCGAGGGTCACGGCGGGGCGAAGCGCGGCTGCTGCGAGGTGTGCGTGAGCGGCGGCGACGGCGAGGGGAATGAGTTTGTCATTCCGGTCGCGTGCGAGGGAGCGAGGGGCCAATGGTTCGCGCAGGAGAGCGAGAGAATTCTGCAAAAGATTGTACAGAGGAGCCTACCTTTCGTTCTGAAGAACCAGCAAACGTTCGGAGGAGCAGGGACATATGTGGTCAGGACAGAGGGGGAGCGTGGGAAGGTAGTTGGTGATCTTCGAGAGGGGGTTTTGAGAAAGCTCATGTCGAGCGTGACGGAAGCGAATGCGCATCTGCGGCCGGGCGCCCTCATTCTGTCCGACCTCGTCGATGAGCCGATTGGGGACTACGGCCTGACGTTTTTCGTCACGGAAGAAGAGGCAGAGCCTGTATTTCTTGCGGCATCGGAGCAGATGATTGGGAGGGAAACGCCTGGATCGGCAGCACGATCAATTATCGACGCCAAGATGAGCTCAAGAAAAAGTTCACCAAGCTAGTCAAGGAGGTGGCGGCCTGGCTTCGGTCGCACGACTATGTCGGGCCGGCTGGGGCGGACGTTCTAGAGACGGCGTCTGAGTCGGTCATGGACGAAGGTGTCGATGATGACCTGGCGAGTACCACATTGTTGACCTCAATGTGCGGACGTCGGATC